GAAAACACCTGTTCAGGAAAGAAACACCATTTTTTAAATTTCAATGGGTTTTAATGAAAGACCGCCTTATCTTGTGTTTCGCAGAAAATATTCTTCATGAATGAATAGAAAAACAATACAGGGTGTTAGCCAATATCAATTTATCCTATGTGCGCGCGCTCACGCAAAACAAGAAACGTAATTTCATACTAAAGAATGACCTCAACAGGATAATATATATTAGTCCGGCTAAACAAGAAATCAGTGTGTTACTCATCTTATAAGAAAAAGCCTCAAATTTTTTGAAAATCTTGTGATAATGATAAATAATATATATCGCTCAAAATGAGCTCGATCTGAGGCCCTGGTTAGGGCGAGTGGAGTATGAAGAAGTCAACATCCCACGATTTTGTAGAGACATGAAACGAATTGCCAAATTCAACGAAGTCTACATTAGTAGATTGCTTAGTAACACTACGGATAATAGATGGAAGGCAATATCAAATCGTTCTTAGCATGCTACTTTTCCTCCTTCACTCGCTTCTGTTCGAACAAAGTGGAGAAAAAGTTCGGGAAGATCTCAAGGTATTCATTTACATCAAATTTCATTTCAACACTGTAAAAATGATACGTTCGGCTGCAAATTATTGCCTTGAACATTGTCCTTAGTTTTCAAACATTAGGGCATGCAGGAACAAGGTTGTTAACCGGGTAAAAAAATCTAAGATTATACAAGACACAAAGAGAACAGTACATTCATCCAATGATCCATTTAATTACTTTTTTCGACAAGGACACCTTTTAGCGTGCATGTATTAGAAACTATGCTCAGCAGCCAACAGCTTAGCCTGGCCCCTACTGCTTGAAGTTTAACTGTTTCTAGTGTACAAAGACATATCCCATGGCTTTGATGAATTTTTCGCCAGTATATATATCTCCACCGTGCTTGGCCACGTTACCACATGAGTTGGTATTGTATCTAGCGGTACCAAACCCGATTTGGGAATCGCTGGACGTGCAATCAATTCCATTGTTACCAACGATTCCAATTTGTGCCCTAGAAGAACCGGCGTTAACACTCAGGACGTTGAAACCCTCCTTTTGACAGTTGTTTTGCAGGGAAGAACCAGTGATCAACTTCTTCCATCCCTCCCGACCCAGAGAGGTTTTGCGATATTTGCCATCTGCAATCAGGGCGTACAGCGAGCTTGCCTTTTGGTTCAAGACAAAGAACTTGGTGACCTCACCAACCTTCATACCGAGACAGATCTTGGTGAAGGGTGTGTTCCAGTAGGTTGGTAACTTGGTCTCTTGGTCATCCAAGCCAGACTCCCCTTCAGGAAGGCCGTATTCTTTATGTTCGTCCAAAGCGGTGAATCGTATTTAAACGTTTACTGCAATAGGAAATAAAGAAAGTGAGATGTTTCATAAAAAACGGTTGTGCTCTTATCCTGATTTTGATGTAATTGCAGCCTTCTATAATGTGAAACTATTTCTCGTTTAATTGCAACTGCAATTTTCTGAAACAGAAATCAAAGATATAAAAAGTTCTGTAAGTCGTGAATTAGTAATAGTTAGGAACGGTTCTTCGCCAAAAATTTTACTCAAGGGAATATGTAAATGATATTTGCTTGTTCATGCTCCAGTGAGTTCATTTAATGCTGTTTCGAATCAAGTTGTTATCTGCTGGCTTTCAAAAACAACCAATAAAGTACGATTCCCCTTGGATTACTTACTCAAGGGAAGCAAGTCCTCAGAGAAAAAAGATTCATTAACGCAGCCTCTTTAATCTCCCTGATCGTCAAATTTGGATAACAGGAAGTGAGATATTCACATATTTGAGTAAACTCCTCTAAAAAGCGTAGTTCGCAGGTCACTGTCCGTTGATAGGTTTTCAGAACTTTCAAACATGGTTTCATATGTCTGCGCTCGATGAATAAATTTACCGCAAATAAAGTCAATGGAAGCCTCTCGATCACTGTACATGATCAACACTCCAAGATCCCTGTTTGACCTGCAGGGAGTTTCCACCACTTCATCCGATCATTGATAGAGTGATCACCCCCTTTCCTGTGAACATGACGCGCACGTGCAAGTGTCCTATTCCCTCCAAGCCTTTCAACTCATTTAAAAGCGCACGAGCCCGGAGAATTGAGGCAGAAAACTCGACACAGCGAATATAGTCTCAAAGTGAATGCGCATGCCTCTAGCGCACGGGAAATTTTACATGCGCAAAGAAATGGGAACGACAACATTTCTGAAGTAACAAGATTACGGCAAAATGGCGGCATTTTTAAACTTCGCATTGTTCGCTTTCATTTTGCTGGGATAAGCTCAAAACAAAACAGATAAGCTTGTCGTTTTCAAGAGAATATCTGTCAAACCTCCTCAGTCACATATCTCACTCAAAAAAAAAACTGTTGCGGTAACAGATGTAAGAATGACTACCGGCTAAGTTCGTAGTGAATTCTCCCGCTTTAGCTGTCTGGATGAATTTGAAACAGCTTACGGTGAACTCTAGTCGAAAGTTGCTACATACCCCTCATTTTGCCGCTGTGTCGAGGTAGAATGTACCCTACCACTAGGCTTACAATACTTACTGGGTCTACGATCCCTGATAGACCCGGTAGCTATGTTGCCGAAAATGTGTGGCTGTCGTTGTTAAGTGACCTTTCAAGTGTATAAAAACTGCTTCATCCTGTTTGAATAGCTGGGTTATGAAATAAATGATAATTGAAAGGTCAAACCAATGGGTAATAGATGAATAATGGTATGGTATAGCTAACTGTGGTTACCAGAACTTAAAGCGGACACATTTTGATTTCTGAGCATTAATTAGCTGTTGAGCCAAAGCTAAGGAGGAATTTCCTCATTTACATCGTACTTCCAATTTGTTTTGTTGGTAACGGTTCAGAGTTCGGACTCAATGATAATTGCTTCCTGGGTTTGAGTTTTTAGCTATGTAGCCCTACAATATTTTGCATTGTGTAAATAGACACTACTAATTCTTACGCCACAACATCGAGTACACAGATATCTAATCAGAGTGCGTGTTAATCAGTGTGTGTGTCGGTGTCATGGAACAGAAAACAAAGACAAATAATGAAGTGCAAAATAGAACTAATGCAAACAAAAGAAAACGAAATTACGATCTGTGGTGCATCCATTGTGAAAAAAATTATTGATAAATGATTCAGACGCTCACTAAAACTAACGTAGATGATGGAGATGAAAATTACTTAATTGAAAGCAACTATGAAATAGACAAGTACTAGCGAACGAAGCCAAACACGTATTGATGGGAATAAATATGAACAGTTACGTAATCCTCGCGCAACTTCACGCAAAACCGTGAATAGAATAGAAAAGGAATTATAGTTGCAACATGTTGTGTGATTATAAACAAAGTTTATAGCAAGACATGCTTTTTCCTCACAAACAACTTCATTTTTCTGCGATACCCCCTCGAGAGTTCTTCGATAATATGTTGCAGGCACAGTCCTTGTAAATTTAAAACAAGCGGCTACTCAGTCATACTTATTTCAACTACCGTATTAATTCGACTTAGCGTCCTCTTTGCCATAAGCGCTGCCCTCTAGAGAGCTTCCTCCCTCGAAATTTGTTTGTATTAACGAGTGCCCCTATTCTAATACTCGTTCCGATTCTGTTTCAGTGATAGCAGTGCTAGAGTGCATGGACAGTGAGAATTTGATGAATTTTTCGCCTTTTTCTCCATCACAGAATACAGGTTTGTTAACCACGAAAAATATTTCTTAATGATTAAAGACATAGATAGAAGAGAGTCTTTCACCCAATAATCCATTTTATTACTTTTCTCAACGATAACACTTTTTAGTTTGCATGTACTAAAAACTATACTTAGCAGCTCGGCCCCTAAAGCTTGAAGTTCCTCTGTTTCTACTGAACGAAGATGTATCCCATGGCTTTGATAAGTTTGTCGCCTTTATCTCCACCGTGCTTGGCCACATCGCCACACGAATTGGTATCGTCTGGATATCCAGCGGTACCAAACCCGATTCGGGAATCACTGCTTCCGCAATCATCTTCATTGTTGCCTACGATACCAATTCGTGCTTTCGAATGATTTGCTAGATCGCTTAGGACGTTGAAGCCTTCTTTGTTGCATTTTTGCTGTAGGGAGGCTTCACTGATGAG